AAAAATTGATAGCATTTAATATTTTAATTATTATTATTATTAGTAAAATTGTGAGAATTTTAAATGTTTTTTAGCAGTAGTAGTATCAGTAGTAGTAGTAGTTTAGCACACAATTTGCAGGAAGTATTAAGTATTGTTTTTTTTCATTTTGATAATAATAATAATAATAATAACAATCATTAAAATTATTGTATTTGTTTGTTTAATTGCTAGCTTATCATAATAATGGGCACACACTCACTTAATACAAAACAGCCATATATTATACACGTATTATATATATATATATAAATTTATATATATATATTTAATTATCATGTTTAATTGTAACATTTTTTTTTGTTTTGTGCAATATCATTTTTTGTAATTATTTTAAATGTTTTTTTATAATCAATTTATTATAACAATTTTTTTGTTGTTGTTTTCAAATATTCATTATCTGACACACATATTTGATACTTAATATAAAAAAACACCAATTGATTTGTGATTTTTTCATATCTATGGTACCAACTCTAATGGTAGTGCATCCCTCCATATTAGACCTGTTTTTTTTTTAATAGTATATAGTTTTTAGTTGGGCACAGGTATGTGTATGTGTGTATGCATATTTAGATCAATTTTTAAAAAAAAGTATGGTGATGATAATGGTCGACAAATCGTTTGATGGGGACAGTTAGATTTTGTTTTTTTTTATTTATTTAAATTATTGATATATATGTGTGTCATTGTTGAGATTTTCAGTGATATATATATATCATTGATGAGAGGGGTATCAATAGATTGTGTGAGATATATATATATAGATAGATAGTGTGTGATAGAGTGATAGATAGATAGGAAGAAAAAGAGAAAAAATAGAAAATAAAATTTTTTAGTTATAAATGCATTTAGAAATTAATTATTTTTTTTGTGTAAAATATTAAATAATTATTAGTTAATTAGCTTAAGCATTAATATTACTATAAAAAATACTAAAATATTATTTATATAATACTATGATTAAATAAAGTTAATTAGATATTAATATAAAAATAGCAATTATAACTACAAATAGCAAAACTAAAATCTAATTATTATATATATATATATTTAAATTTATCACTAAATAAATATCTAAACATATATACTATAAACTATAGATTATAAAGTACAGTAAAATATCTAAAAAATATTATTTACAATTATTACTAATACTACTATCACAAATATTTTTAATTACTTTAAACTACTAGTTTTTTTAAAAAAAAATTGTATATACAATACATACATACATACATACACAACAATTTCTAGTAGTAAATGATATGCTACTAATTTTTATGTTATTTATTAAATTTATTTTAATAATGTTAATATAATTTTATAACAAAATTATTTGTTGTTAATAGGTTTACAACTAAATCAGTTCAGACCAACAATTTTGAATTTGATTTTAAAAAAAAAGTTTTAATCATTACAATGACAACAACAACAACAACAATAACAGTAACATCAACAACAACATTACCAAATGGTTTTTAATAATTATAATAATAACCACAACAACAACAACATTAGGCAACTATATAAATTTTATTATTTAAAAAAAAATTGCTATTGTTTTTAAAATACTAAATAAAACAAAACTGTTTACTAAATATGCAACTATTATATATTATATAAATAATTTGACAATAATTTTTGTTTTGTTTACCGGGGTACGTTTTTAGTTTCTATCATGCCTACCACTAACTAAAATGTAACTAAAACATATATACTTTATAATAATATATATTTATAAAAAAATAAATTAGCTTGTTCAATTTGACTCACTTTTATATATATTTTTATCCACTTGAAAATAATAGTTGACATTTTTTTGAAATTGATTTTTTAAATCCTCAATGTGTATGAGTGAGTGTATAATATATTGATTTATTTTTTTTGTGTACACGAAATCATTAATTAATTGTTTTATGTAAAACTCAATTTATTATTTTTTGTTTTTGTTGTTAGTGTGTGTGTGTGTGTGTGTGTGTGTGTGTGTGTGTGTGTGTGTGTGTGTGTGTATGTATGTATGTACATAAACTATACAATAGCTTTATGTATAATATATATTTATTTTTACACAAAAAAATATAATTTAAAATTATATCTCAATAGTTGTATATACAGTTTATACTGTATACACACATATCATCAAAAGGGTCATTAAAAAAACTCAATTTTTTTTACTTCAAAAGTATTGTAAACTTTATGTATTGATTATACATTATTGTATAAGAAAAAACTATATATATATAAATATAGATTTAAATGATATGTATATTATGTACTGTAATATGTTTTGGTATTGTATTTTTGCATAGAAAATCAATTTTGAATATACAAAAAAAAATAAATTTTATTTATATATATGTGTATAAATTTAAGGCACACATAACTACACTACACTTACTGATATTAAACTGTATGTTATTTATAAATTTATATATAGCTATACATTTGTTATCACAAATAATCGTATATATAATCCTATAGAGAATATTCTAGTTTATAATAATAGACAGACAAATATATTTTCATATAAAAAGTTAGAGATTTTGTGATTATTTTTCTAATCAATTATTATTTTTTTACATTAATATTATGTACTGTTTTGTAAAAAATTTGTTTTATGTTTATATCATACGGGTATCCATATAATAGGTTTATATATTGTAATACACATTAATAAAAATAAATACAATAAAAATAATATTTTGTTCATAAAAAAATTAATTAAAAAATKWTAATATAATAAAATTAAATTTTTAAAAGTTTAAACATTAAAACAAATTAATATATTAAATATGAAATAAAAACAAAAAATTAATTTAATAATAAATAAAAACAATTAATTATATTGAAAAAAAATCTGATTTTATTTGATTTCTTGATTTTTTCAAAATTATATAACATGTGTATAATTTATATTTATAAATGAAATAAAAATTTGTTTATAATTATAATAATAATTTCAATAAAATGTCATAATTAAATAAAATTCACAATAATAATAATAATAAGTATAATGAAAAAAACATAATAATTATATAATAAAATATTATYCATAAAAACAAACTGAGAAAGAGGTTTATGTGTTGTATTGAAAGAGATATATATATTTATATAATTAAAAATAAAACAAAAAAAAGAGARATAAAAATAATATCATAAATAAAATTGTTTTAACAATAAATTTGATAAAACATATAATAATTAAAAAATTATTATTATTAAATTAAAATATTTATATAAATTTATTATTTATAGTAAAAATTATAAATTTCAATAATAATAATAATAATAATTAAAATTCGGTTTGTTTTGTTTGCATTCAAAGTTATTATAAGTAAGTAATGATAATAATAATAATAATAATRTATAAATTTATAATATATTTAAAATAAGTGATAACAATTTTACATTTTATCATATATTTTCAAAAAAAATTGTTTATATAATATCTCATATGTATTTTATAATATATGTTATATAAGGCAATATATTTGTTGTTTTTCATTTATATATATAATTATTTATTTTTAAAAATAAAACAAAATTTAAATAAATAAAAATTAAGAAATGTTTTACACAATTATATAAATTTAAATGCAATTTCTTTTCTTTTCTTTTTTTAAAAAATGGACATAAAATTCATAATTATTTAATAGTTATTGCTTTATGTTTCCCAAAACATTTWGTTTTTAATTAAATGCAATACAAGTTCTCATAAGTTTTCAAAGTTTATAAATATATTATATATATATATGTATAGTTGTGTGTGTGTGTATGTATGTGTGTGTGTGTAGATGTGTGTGTGTATAGATGTGTGTGTGTCAATTGAGTGACTGACTAGCAATATATATATATAAGTTTATTAAATAATATAATAATATTTTTTGTTTATTATACGATAAAAAAAATCTTATTAAAAAATTTCTACTGTTAGTCTGATAGACKTATGTTTATTATTTACGTTTAGGTGAACAATATTTTAATTTATAGTGAATATAATATATATATATATAGATAGCTAGATAGATAGATAGATAGTTTATCCAGATTATATATATAGATAGACACATAGCATTTAATTTTAAGTGTCAATCAATCATATTCATTGTGTGTATATATATGTATGATAGATATATCTCATAAAATAAGTAAAAGAGTGAGAAAAAAGTAAAAATAATTTTTATCTCAAATTTCAAGTTAGTAGATATGACACACACCCACACACACACACACAGCCACACACCCGCAATTACATACATTTATTAAACAAACAAATAAACATAAAGTATATCTGAATCAAATATTTATACTAATTTTCAACTTAATTATAGTATTTAAAACAAAACAAAAAATAATTGACTTTTTTTGTTTGCAAATGTTTGTGTAGTATATATTGCTATTTAATTGATATTAATTGGGATTAATCTACAAAATATTGAATATCTATATATATTAGTGTTTTGTTTGCTAATAATTGCATATGTTTTTTATGTGTCTGTATGTATATTATTTGTTGTATATAAATATATACTGTTTAAGTAAGTATTTATAAGATAACATAATTTTGTTATTTAAAAAATAAAATATTAATATTGTTTTTTTTGTTTTGAAAAAAAATTTAATTATTGGGAAACTACTGCACAGTTAACAAAAATAAAATATATCTATAAATAGGTAGGTGCCCATTGTTGTTGTTGTTGATGCTATTGTTGTGGTGTTGTTGTTGAGCTGTTGGTGGTGTTGGTGTTGTTGTTGATGTTGTTGTTATTATTATTGATTAGAGAGACTTATAGATATAGTGGGACAGACTGGAGATATGTATGTTTTTTTTGAGGAACCGGTAGTTAAAATGTTTGGATTATTTTTTTAGGAGATTGTGTTTTAGGAGATATTTTTAACAATATATATATAATCTAATATATATATCAATATTTAAAATCATTTTAATTTCATGTTTTATTTGTATTAAAATAATAATAATAGGAGAACTGGTAGGCAATTAATTTTTGTATTGATTTTTTGTTTGTATTTTGTTTTGTTTGTTTCGCTGAAAACGGCATTTCCCTCTCATATAACAAACCCTTAAAAAATTAAAAACAATACATTGGTATAGATTTATATTTATATTTAAATGTATATATCATTCATAACAAAAATCAATGTTTAGTCTATTAATTAGCAATAAATTTATGGATAATATAATTACTTAACAATAGTTATTATTATTATTATTATTCTTTATATTAGCAAAAAAAACAAAAATATATTTATCAAATATGTATTAGCATAATATATATATTTTAAAAAACAATTAATAATAATAAACCTGTAAATAATTTTCTAAACTGTATTTTAAAAAATGTCATTTTATCAGCTCATTAATTAATTATCAATAATATTAATAATAAAATAATAATAATAATAATCTATTATTAATTTTATAATAAACTAAATCTCATAATAAGATATTTATAGTTTAATAACTTATACTGACTTATTATTAAATAAAAATTACTATTAGTAAGTAATAAATCAATATTTTGAATTAATAAAAAATTAATTAACAAATTAAAAGTGATAAACAACATTAAAAACATTTTAAATTATATATTATATTATAGCTATCAATAGTATTATTCATTAATAGTTAAATCAATTTTATTGCTATATAATAAATATTAAATATTTATATCAATAAATTTTTTATAAAAATGTGACTAATATTATAAAAATTATTAACATTCAGATATATTTAACATTAAATATTTAGCTATTGTTGTTTTTTAGGTTTTAATTTGTTGTATGCATATAAATGTATATACTGTATATACACACATATTTAGAAAATTTTATATTATTTAATATTAATAATAACAAAAACTACAGTTGTTTGTAGTTTTTAATTTCAAAAATAGCACTTATATATATTTTTTTATAAAGTAATAGTAGATAATAGTAATAGTAGTAATAATTATAATAGTATTCAAAATATTATTTAAAAATATCCAATAATGTGAAAAAGATAGAGAGAGAAAAAAAAGATAATTATAAAATAACTTATGTACTTGATCAATTTATGAGATAGTGAAAAATCATTATCGTAAAATTATCAATATTAAATGTATATCAATAATAATAATAATAATAATATCAATAAAAGTTTATATCTCAAATATAAATATAATAAATTTATATATGTATGTAATTTTTTTTATAGAAAAAAAATATTGTATGTATTGCATAGTAATATTATATATATATATATCTATATAATTATCATCAATAAAATTATTTAATAATAATAATAATATATAATATAATGTAATAATAATAATTGTAATAATTTTTTGTTTTAATTTTTTTTTTAAATATATAAATATATATATATTTAGCATCAGAGCTGCTGTAGAGCATGCATATGGCTGTTGAGTAGTGAGGTTTGGTCCAATGGTATACAGATGCCGGGTATATGATTCAAATTCATACCTGCAAATGGATAGCCAAAACCGGGATAGCCCGGGTAGCCGCCCCGTCCCGCGTAGCTGGCGTAGGCCGCCGGGAATCCTGTACATCCGATAGCAACAATAATAATAAAAAAAATAACATAAAAATTAATTATTATCATCAAGTAATTTAAAAAAAAATAAATTAATTTTTTTTTTAGAAATATAATAATTTATAGTGAATTAAAATTARAATTAGAGAATTTTTAAGAAAAAAATAATAATAATTATGATTTAATCTATAATATAAAAATTTTYATGTTTAAAATTTATAATTGTTTTATAATATGTTTTTTGTATTTTTTATGATTTGATAAATATGATATAATTTATATTTATGTTGCTTATATAAAATTTATTTATTTATTTTTTTTAAATAATTATCAAATTGTATTATTAAATAGTTATTTTGTTGTATAATAATAAAATAATTTGATATATTCTAATTTTTTTAATGATTTTRATAAATATTTCTAATATAGTAAAGTGTTAATCAATAATTTTATTTTAATATGATATTAGTAATCTCTTTATAAGTAAATTATATTTATTGAATATAAGGTAAGATAAGAGCACTAGTAGTTCAATAAAAAAAATGGAGTAGTTTTTTGAATTAAAATAATAAGAAACCATTGATAGACAAAAAAACTATTGATATATTCACTGTTATTATGCATAAAGAAAATGTGACTTTTGCTATATATTTTGCATACATTTATACTAAACTTTTAGTTCAATGTTGTTATTGTATTTAACATTATATTTAATACAATCTCTCTCTCTCTCTCTCTCTCTCTCTCTCTCTCTCTCTCTCTCTCTCTCTCTCTCTCTCACATATATGCCAATAGTTGTATGTGTGTGTATATGTGTGTGTATGTGTATGTATGTGTATGAGTGTGTATATATATGTGTCTGTATGTGTGTATGTATGTGTGTCATAAGTAAAGAAATCTTTAAGCAATTTATATACACACTTATCAAATCAATACAATCGACTAGTATTTTATGTTTAGTGTGTGTGTGCTTTCAAAAGTAATAATCAATACAAGAGAGARAGAGAGAGAGAARARARAGAGAGAGAGAGAGCTTTTTCAAATGGAAAGGCATATATAAAAAACAGCAAAAGTCTATGACATAAGTGAATGAAAAGCCTTTTGCCTTTTTATATACAAATAATCTATAACTTTAGTCCCAGTTATTTGTATTGATTGATGAGAGAGAGAGAGAGAGAGAGCAAAAATAGTAATATATATAATATTGTATTATATATATATTTATATATATGGAGAAAAATTTCTTGCACTCTCAGTACTATTGCCTAACTCTCTCTCTTTCTCTCTCTCTCTMTATATATATATATATATACTTTATATGACTATACACTGTAGACACTATATATTCTTAATCCTATTAAATATATAGAAAAGACATTAAGTTATTAATAAAATAAATCAACAAAATAAATCACTGGCATATAATACTAAAATATGATATTGCATTAGTACAGTGCAGTAGTGAAGTACTAGTACTAGACTACTAACTACTAAACTAGTAGTAGTTTAGTAACAGTACTGCACTAATAGTAGTATAGATTGTAAGCAAAAAAAAAATATATATATATATGATATTTAATAATATTACTACTATTACAGTATAACATATAGATTGCTCTAACATTGAGATTATTACTAGTATTTATTAATTGTATTGTTTTTTATAATTGTATTTTTGTTGTTGTTGGTGAAGTGCATGTTATATACATGTTTCTATATATGGTTTACAATATATGTATATAAATAAAATATATAAACATGTACAGTACTTCACCAACAAAAAAATATATATACAGTATATAAAAAAAGATAAATATTATTGTTTTTATATATATACTGTATATACATTTGATATTTTTGTTATAATTAATTATTTCAGATTATTAAACCCCAATTTATTTTGTTTATCATGATATATATATATATATATTTAGTGTATTATACAATTAATTAATTATTGCCCATTAATTATTTATTTTTTATATACTCTATATAAGAAAATATCACTATAAATTAATGTACCTAGATGATACATATATATTAAAAATTTATGATATATGTATTTGTTTTTAAATAAAAACCAAAATTAGTTATAAAAAAAACTTACCATCGGTAAGCGCTCCTAGTGGCCAAACTAAATCTGCCAGATCAATTGGTTGTAAATAAAAAATAATAATAAATTGTTCATGGTAGTTTTTTGATTGATTGTTGTTGTTGTTGGTTATGTGATGAATGAAATTGATGATGGGATGAGAGTTGGAACAAATAAAATGGGAAAAAAATTTATAAAAATTGTGTTTTTTTTATAATAATAAATATATATACAAATAATTATTCACATATATATATATAAAACAAACAAATATCAAACAACACACACACACACACACACACACACACAGTACATATGTTTAATGGATTTCAAGCATTTTTTAAAAAATAAAAGACATATAACATAACATATTATTATTATTATTTAAAAATAATTTTAATAATAACTTATCGATATGTAATTGGTTTTTATATTTTTTGTGTGTTAGTTGTAGTAGTAGTAGTACTAGTATTGTTAGTTTGTTATTTTTATTTGGATAAATAAAAACAACAACAATAATAATAAACAAATTAATGATTAAATAAGTAATAACTAGTGTGAAAAAAATTAGTGTTAATTTTTTTAAAAAATTTTAATGATTGGTTTTTTATTTTTTCATATATGTCATGGGACAACCATATATCTATATATATAAATTAAGCTAGTTAATTATGATTTTAATTAGTTAAATATTAATATTTAACTACTACCATTATTACTAAGCTAATTATAATATATAATAGTAATAGTTATTATTATTATTATTATTTAATCTACTAAAAAAACAACAGTTACACTAATATCTATTTATAATAGCACACACACATACACTAGCACATAATTTTAGCGAAAATTTTAATTAACTAAATACTACTGTAAATTTATATATTTATATAAACTAAAACACTTATATAGAAAGCAGTTTTTTTAATTACTATTTGATAGATAGGTAGTTACCAAATGATAAGCACAGGTAGACAAAATAAAAACAACTAAACTAAACCCGATTTTTATTTTTATTTAGCTAGCTAAAGCTACTAAAGTTATTTTTAATTAAGCTACAGTAAAATATATATATATAAACAAATTATCTATAGATAGTATAGTTACTACTAATGGGTGCTAATAATGCACACACACAGCTATAATAGACACGGCTATCAAAAATAAAATTGTATTTAAAGCCATCATTTAAAAAAATTACCTCAATTAAATTTTTTTTCAACAAAATGAGCTTGATAACTTTTTTTTATTGAATAAAATCCCTGTTCACTGTATATACAAAAATAAATAAATATACAAAATATATATCTATTTCTTCTATAATTAATTAATTTTACTTTATATCAAATATATATCTCCCTGTCCTCTCTCTCTTTCTCTTATTTGTTCAAAAAGCCCAATAAAATAGCATATATATTGTATACACTGTATATAAACAACAGCCCGGGTAGTGGTGGTGAAGGTGAAGTGAATGTGCTTTTATTTATGTATGTATGTGCGCTCATCATCAATAGTAATAGTGAGAGTATGGCCATCCCTGACATATACATGTGTGGTGTATAACAAGCATTCTGTGACGGTTACCATAAGCGCCCCTACCAGCTGCCCGGCCTCCTCGGGCACCCACATTGTTTGGCATCATTACTTCCTTGGGCTGGGCTTTCTTGCACTCGACCTGTTGGTAGTGGTCCACCCATTGTAGGTGGGTGTGGGTAGGAAAGGGTTGGTTGATATTATAGTTATATTAATAATAATAATTATTAATTTTTCCAATATTATTATTATTATTTTAGTTGTAATGTTGATAACGATGATTGTTGACATGGTTTGCAAAAAAAATGAGTAGAAAAAAATACAATAATATATATAACAAATTAGTAATTTTATTTTATTAAACAGTAATTAATTAATTTATAACTAATTACTAATTAAAAAATAAATTAATGATAGTGTAATTAAGTAAAAATAAACACAAAATAATACTAATAATTTTTTGAATTTAATTGATTATTCAAAAAAAAAATTACTAAATAAATTTATCTAATAGTAGTTTATATATATTTAATAAATATTATAAATCAAAATAATTGTGTTTTTTTTATATACCATTTTACTATTGATTTCATGGAAGTGTATTTCGCAAACTTTATCGACAACATCCTCGCTCTCAAACGTTACAAAACCAAAACCTATTTTTAATTAATTAATTAATTAAATTATTAATTAATTTTTGTTATTTAATAAGTAGTTATTACAGTAATTATGTGGACTAATACTTTAAATAGTAGTATAATATTTAAAAACAATATTTTTTTTGTGAAAAAATACCATAAAAAACAAATTTGCAATCATTTACTTTAGTGTAGTTTAGTATTATTCTTTCATAATTTAACTTAAAATTATATTTTAAAATATATACTTATACTGTTTAATAAGCTATTTAATAATAATAATGTTAATATTAATAAATACATAATAATTTAAAAATAAAATTAAACTAATTAAAATTTTAATTATTAAATTAAATTATACAAATATTATACAAATAATCAAGTATTTCATATTAAATTTTMTATATATAAATATTATTTAATGTTAATATATAGTTTATACTGTGCATATATAACTTTATATAAATATTCATAAATAATTTATATAAATAATTATATTTACATATTTTTAATAGAAGATTATCATAATGTAATTAATCAGAAATATTACTAATCAAATAGTAATATATTAAATATAAAACATATACAGTGTTTACTATACACATATACACAAAAAAAAATCATTGAATACTTGGGTGTGTCAAAACCATAATATAGCACCGATAGATACACAAAACACACACAYACACACACACACACACATACATACATAGCCATCATCATCATTGACTTACATGTGCTGAGAGTTTAGTAGAAGATTAAACAAAAAAAATAATAATAAAATGTTATACACATTATAAATATGTGGAGAATAACCAGATTTGTTATATAAATATAWATAACGTATTCCTCGCACACACCCGGAGCTACAATATTAAACAATTAAGAGCCACACCTGTATGTTGTAAAAGCACACACACACACATAYAWATATATATATATACAATCATACCTCATAATAAAATAACTGTATATAAAAATATCTAAAAGCATAGTATGTATATATCTTTTTTTTAAATATAAATAATTAATACAAATATGTATGTAATTGTTTCATATCAACTGTATATATATATACTGTATATGTATACAGAATATTCTGTAAACACAACTTTATATAGTATTTAATATTTATATATTAATGCCTATTAATGTATCAGTAACTATGTTATGAACATTAATTTATAATATCAGTATATAAATGTTATATTAAATTATAAATTATATATATATATATATAACACAGCTATAAAAGCTACAACAACAACAACAACAACGATAAACAATTTTTAGTGTCTAAAATGCCTATTAATATTTTAATCGTGTAGTCCTGTAAACTATTTATTATAAAATATTAAAGATATTGTATATAATTATATTTAATTTTTAGTATTAATAAAAATCCATGGCTATTATTTTAATTTCTCTCAATATTTATGTTTTTGTGTGTATATTTAAGTTATTAATATTTTTATAGTACTAGTTATATAATATGTTGGGATTTTTTTTAAATATATTTTAATCATTTAATTTCTACGCCCATTTAGTATTATATATATAATTTTTTATATAATGTAAAAAAACTAGTTTACTCTATGGCTTTAAAACAAAATCTCCTGTTATTTGTTTTTATTAAAGTTTTATTTTAGCAAATCTTTTAAAATCATTATTATTATTATTTTATTATATCTATTATATGTAATAATATTATATATAATATACAGTACAAAGAAAATACAAAATAGTATTTCCTTTTTATGTATTCTAAGCATTAAATTATATCCATATATATATATAATGTTATTAAATATATATATTTAATATTTTGTAGATTTTTAAGAGTAACATATGTATGATATATACATATATATATATAAAATAAAAATGTATTTTATTATACATATATATTGTTGTTTTACTTAGAAATTTGTATAAATCTTTCCAGTGTTTTGTGTATTGTTAGTTATGAGTCATTTGTTTGAATTATATAATAATTCAAATTTAAAGTTAAAGAAATAGCGGGTGAGTGAATGAGAGAGTGAGTGAGTGAGTGAGTAAGTGAGTGAGTGAGTGAGTGAGTAAGAGAGAGAGAGAGAGAGAGAGAGAGAGAGAGAGAGAGAGAGAGAGAGAGAGATACTTAAGTTTTGTATGCAAATAACTAATGTTATTAAAACAAATAAAAATATTATTCAAAATGAGATTTCATATATTTTAAAGTTTTTTTATTTTGTTGCATATATTTATAATATATATATATATTTTATTTATATTACTGTAATTTTTTCCTATTTAATATATTATTTTAATCATAGTAACTATTGTAAACATTGTATGTTTTATAAATTTATTTAAATAATTTATACTGTATATATATATTATATACATAAAATTGTATTGAAAAAATATTATTTAAATAATATTATTATTAGTAATATACTGTACTGTATAAGTTAGAGTTTTAATATAAAAATTTAATTTAATTTTGTTTGTGTTTAAATAAACATTACTACTATTTTTCGTCAATAACATTTTTTTTGTTGAATTCAATGAATACAGTAAAATATTTATACATTTTTGTATTTATATAAAATTTAATCAATTATTGTGTATTATTAGTATTAGTATTATTATTATTATTATTATTATAATGTATGCAAACATAAGTAAAAACATATTTTCGTATTTTTTTGACAAAAAATAATAATAATAAATTTTTCTACGTTGACAACAAAATTGATTAAAAAATAAAAAAAAATATTTACCGACAAATTATTAACAAAAAAAAATTCAATACAACAGTACTGATGAAAACTTTTGATACATTTTTATGTGTATACAAAAAAACTAACTGTATTTTTTGGTGGCTATTATTCTATACTATTTTTGTTGTAAAATACATGTATATAATGTTTAAAAGATAAATGATTTTTTTTCACTGGTGCACACATTTTGCTTAGACAAACAATATATATATATATATATTAGAAAACTTTTTATCTTACAATAGATAACTTTGAAAAATATATATATTATAATAAAGTTTGTGTGTTTGATTTAATTCAAAAAAATAACTTATTTTTAACATTACAACTAATATAAAAATAGCACATTTTGAAAAATATATTAGTAAATAAATATACAATAACAATTGTTATACTTATGTAACACATACACACACACATAGTATATAACAACAACAAAAATAAATAAATTGTTAAAAAATTTGTCTACAATTTGTTACAAATCAAAAAATAATGTATAAACTACTGTATATAACTATAAAAACACTTATTATAAAAACACAATATATACTATTAGTCAGTGATTTTTGTTTGTTTGTTTGGTATTTATTTTTGTAGCATAAATGATAAATGTATTATAAAATGCATCAGAAATAGTATAAAATAATTTTTATATCAAAGAGAGAGAGAGAGAGAGAGAGAGAGAGAGAGAGAGAGAGAGAGAGAGAGAGACTCACTATCTCTAGTGTCGACACAACAAAAGTTTAATACTTTATTTCATAAATATTTTTTAGTTTACAACTAATATATTAAAAAAAGTATATTTTTCACTATATTTTCATTGTTGAGATTTCTAGTGTTTTGAAAGGGGAAAGGGATGAAAAAAAATCTATATATTGTATGTTTATGTCTATCTCACAAACATAAGACACTCTACAAACATATAAACATTTTTTGTTGTTAAATATTAAAAAAAATGTTGGTCCGTATATAACAAATAAGTTAAACTTTTTTATATTATTTTTATGTATTGTTAAAAATGCAAATGTTTTGACATATTATATATATATAAACTATATATATATATATATATATAGAAAGAGAGAGAGAGAGAGAGAGAGAGAGAGAGAGAGAGAGAGAGAGAGAGATTTATATAATAACAAAAACATATAGAAATATATAGAGAATAAATTCTAACAATTGTTTGTCAGATATTTTTCATTATTTTTTATATTTTTTATATTCAATCGCTCGTGAAGTGTGTGTGTGTGTGTGTAGTAAAAGAGTTTGTTATATATTTATGTGTTGTTAGTATTGTATTGTAAAAAAAGTAAACTAAACTAAGTATTTGTAAAAATATTTTTTTTTGCTATTATATATAATATATAGATTGTTGTGATTTTAGAGTACAAATACTGTAAAAGCTATGCATAAATGTTGCATAAAATCATTTGTATAAATAAATATTATAGTTTGTAGTTATAATATATATATATATATTTGTTATTTGAGGCAATATATATATATACAGTAAAACTTCTTATCAGTTTTTAACGTAAAAATTTGAGTGAATTTTTTTTGTATATTATATTTGCCAAACTATTTTTTATATACAAAAATATTTTGTTACTTATATAACAAAGAAAGTGTGTGTGTAAATGTGTGTTCAATAAGTAAGAAAATGAAACTAAAAATGTATTAAAATTTGTATAATATATATATATATATATATATATATATATATAGAGAGAGAGAGARATGTGCAAAAATATAACACAATAAGTTGAGGCAATTTTATATACATTTTCACTGTTTATGCTTATATCTATGTGTTTGTATGTATGTATGTATGTATGTATGTATGTATGTATGTATGTATGTATGTGTGTGTGTGTGTGTGTGTGTATGTGTGTGTGTGTGTGTGTGTGTGTGTGTGTATGTATGTATGTGTGTGTGTGTATGTGTGTGTGTGTGTGTGTGTGTGTGTGTGTGTGTGTTTAAGTATTAAGTGTCATTTATTATTTGAAATACATTTTTTTCAGGGCAAAACACAAATAAAATTTTATATACATATAACAAACTAAAACATACAAACACATAGACACACACTTATAGATAAACTTTATATTTTGATTGTTAATACATTTTGTGTATAAAGTTTTTTTTTGTTGAGTACATAGACATACTGTAATATAAGGTTTACAACAACAACAACAACAACAACAACAACACTACACATGTGAACAATAAATAAGAAAAAAAATTGTCACAAAATAA